CTGCCCTTGGCAGGGGGGCTGGAACTAGATGATTTCTAAGCTCCCTTCCAATTCAAACTATTCTATGATCCTATGATGATTCTATATCCAGCTAGGTCTCAGCAACATTCCTCCAAAAGAATTTCTCCACATCAAAATCCTGCTTCCTTTCCAACCACCAAAATTATTTCCTTAAGGGAGTATCTTTCAGTCTTAAGTGAAATCCAGATTTCTATATACCTAGAGATGTCCAATATCCATCAGTAGGAATAAATATTTATCCATAAATGAATCTGTCACCACATTATTCACACAGGGACAGCATGCAAATTTAGAATTGCAATGTATGTCCTTACAAATGCTTTAATGTAAATGGGGAAGATTATAGAAGAGTAGAGAGGCTACCTTTAAAATCCCCACTCCACACAAGTATGGCATCCTCCACAGTTTAGACATGAGCTTTCAAATATTTTCTCCCCTTCATGTAGGGTAAACCAGTGTATTTAATATGAGGGATGTATTTCATATGCTTTGTCTGCACCTCAGAGGTAACTTTTAGAATTCTTTAGTAAGTGCAAATGGGGAAGAACAGCAACGTTAGCTGAAAAAAAATTAACTAGGTATCCAGCATGACTTGTTGATGATCCAACAGGCACTGGAACAACAATAAAGGCATACCCCATAGGTTTTGGCCCAGAATAATTTAAACTGCTCTGTATCTGTATTATTCTGGGTTAATCTGCAGTATTGTAATCAGAAGCTGATGTGGCTGAAAACTAACCTGGCAAAAAGTGATGCCTGTTTGGCATCCCAGACATTTCCACAAGCGCTTAGAGCCTGCCCAACACAGAGGTCAGGCATATACAGCCAAAGGGGGGTGGCTTAGGCTACCACAAAGCTGCATTGTCAGTTGAAAGAAAAGGTCCTAGTCTTCTGTATTTTGCTGTTTGATTTTACTGTCCCATCCTTGCCTGGTTTTATTTGGGTCAAGGATGAGCCAGTTTTGTTCCCTTCCAACCTCATGGTTCAGGCATGTAATGAGACTGTTTCTAGTGAAACAGAGGAATAGCCCAAGCTTTACCATGATAGCACGGTCACAGGCAAGTGAACAGGAGGAGCTGGTGAGAAAAATGTCTCACAGGCAGGAGTTAGTTAACTAGATGAAAAAACAGGCAACCTTATCCTTTAGGTCTGCAATCAAGGCAAAGAAAGTTGTGTGCAGACATAATGCTACTTAGTATCGGAGCTCTATTCTGAATACTTAAGGAAATATAGCAGGGGCATATCAGAAAACAGAAGTGTCTGTTATGTGCCTGCCTTCCACAGATTTTCAATAACACTTAAGAGCTTAACATCTTTTATGCTTTTGAAACCATTCTTAATAAAATAACATTGGATGTTTCACAAATCTGTCACTTCCTAGGCCACCTTGACCTAGATCAATACGCTCCTGTTAACTGTTATTATGTGCTGTTCACAGGTTCTCCATCAGTACCTTGTGGAATTGGCAGTTTTCACAGTGACAGGCCTTTCTGAATTAATTTTCAAGTATGACTTTAAGAAATAATATGTCAAATGTATTATAAAAATCCCTGTACTATAACACGTATTTCACTTTCTTTATTGACTGCTTGTTTTGTTCAGTCCAAGAATTCTAGCTTGGTTTGCATGATTTAACAGAAATCTTTGGGGGTATTCTTAAAAAATTAATGTTCCAAAATGGACATACATGTGCAACAGCTTCATCTTCTAACACTTGTACCACGAACATTCTCACTGTGTGAAAAGGGTGTGTAATAATTTTAGCATCATTTAATTTCTTGATGTTGATCTAACAATTCCTATCCTTTATAGTTTTCCATTACACTCCCACAAAAAACGTGATTTAAACTATATAATCAAGTTCTGTGTTGTCTTTTCCAGCTTTCTTCCTCATTTGCATTATCAAATCATTTTTTCTTCCACATGTACAATATATTCTGTAGTCCTCCTTCAGTTCAACCACACGGCATATAGCATGTACTAAATCACTTCTTATGCCTGTTGTGCTACTTATAGTGAATCAAGGAATTGCACAAGTAATCTTCAGGGTTGTTTCCTCAGATAATCTCTCTTTGCAATTACTTATTAAATGAAAATTGATTTTCTTATATTGATGCAAAAAACCAGAACCTTCAGACAATGTCAATCTATCAGGAGGCACACACAGTAGGAGTAGGCAGCAGCGTATCAAATTGTCTGGTTTAGCAAATGAGGAATGAGGTTGAGTTCCTTAACACAGGCAGGTAGGTAGTGAACCAGCGTCTCCTGCACGGCTTCCAGCTGCCACCCCACAATGGCCCAAGACTATACATTCTATGTCAATTACGCATGACCCTATGCAAGATGTCCTCAATACCATTACATATCTGAATGCAATAAAACGATAAACTGAGGATACTAAATCCCATTTAGAAAGTTTATCTGTAATGCTAAGAATCGTCAAAACACAAAAAGACCCAATATTACCATTACTAATACGAATGGGGTTTAGTTCTTCTTGTTCCCTTTTTGTCAATCTCAGTTTAATAATGTACTAATTCTTAACACGTTAATTTCTTAGACCAGTTGCAATGCTATTTCGGTATTTGGAAAGGCGTACATAAATGTAAACGGTGACTAAGGTGCTAAACAACTGTAATTAAATCTAGTATCAGCCTCTTCACATCCACTCTTTGATGGGTCTGCAATTTTCCCACACAGAGACCTGAATCATCTATTGTACATCTCAATTGTCTATGCCCTGGGCATTCCATATTTAAAAGTTAAGTTTGTTTTTTTCTTTTTGAGGAGATTGATGAGAATCCTACCCCTGTAGGATTCTCTGTATTTTTAATATAATTCCCTGTATTTTTAATATAATTTTTACTGACAAATGTCAAATTAAAGTTGTTGGTTTTTTTTTTTGGGGGGGCGGGGGGGTTGTTTGTTTTTTTTTAATCAAGACCAACTTAATAAAATAGGCATTCTTTAAAATGCAGCTTTTACAGTTTTGTATACACAGTTTTGTATACACTTGAACATTTTCAGATGTTCAGAATTTATTGGGTGGTTTCATACTGTGAAGTAATAGTCAATGAGCTCCCTAAATTACAGATGTGGTTTTATTTATATTTCAGAATTCTGGTTTCAAAGCACAGAAAAAAAAAAAAAAACAACCCATGAAGTTTTTGGTTGGTCTTTTTTTTACTGAAAACAAACTTTATTCCAAAAAAACAGCAAACAGATGATTTGCAACATTATTACCGCCTGGGGTAGAATCTGCTTTGGTTTACTTACTCAAAGCAAACCAAATAGCTGCAGTTCACACCTCAAACGGATCAGAATGTAGCTCATTTTACAGTGAACTAACTGGTTTTAAATACAGATTAACCAATATCACACACACACACACACAAATTCCTAAGCTTTAATCAATAAAACCGTTTTACCTCACTGAAGATAAATCTGTCATGTCCCCAGTTTAGCATAATAAGATGCGACTGAATGCTAGAAGCAACCTCTCAATATGAATATGAGTTAAGAAAAAGGAATGCTGAAAAAAAAGTTATCTCTAGAAATCTATCTGAAAATTGAGTTTATTTATTTGCACAGGAATTGCAATATCTTTTAAAGAGCCCATGCAGAAATGAGTATTCATATTTTCCATAACTTTATAAAGCACAATGAAATGTGAGGCTATTATAATTCCCCATTAAAATCTGAAAAGACATGTTGCCTTGTCTCCCCATGGTTCCCTATTTACTTCCATGGAACTATTTGAGATGTTAACAAATCATGATTTCAACCTAAACATTTTATTCCAAGTTATTCTTGGAGTTATCTGAGGTCTCTTTTCAGGCAGTGTGAAACACTGAACATCAGTAGAACCAGTATTGGTTCAGGACAGAGGAAGGCACCAAATCTCTTTCAGATGGTTCTTCAAGATTCTGCCAGCTCCTTTCAACATGAAGTCTACAAAAATCACAAACCATTTGCTAGCATTTCAGATTTAGAACTCAAATATCATTTATTTGCCACAAAGATGTGTATTTTGATAAGGATGATGGAGAACAGAATGGGTTAGTTTCAGTACATTGGTACCACACTGAAGTGCACAGCTTTGAAAAGACTGTACCATTTGAAGCATTAGTAATATGCATGAGAACTTGAATGTTACATAGCAATATCCTGGCCCCCCTATATTGAGGTTCCTCAGCTTCATGAGAATTTTATTTCCATTTAGCCTCCTCAGTGCATGAAGGACTCAAGACATGGCTTAAATATAGCCAAAGATTCTGATTCGTCAACAGCCTCAGCTACAAATGACAGAAAATTCAGGATCATAACTTCCTGTTTGTTTCTGAAAGCTATGCTTTGGACTGGAATAAGGGGGTACACCAGTCTCCTGAAAAAATATTCTCTGTAATCTTGGTCTGAATATAGGGTTCCTGCTACAGTTAGGACAGTGAGGGAACTTGGTAGATGAACTGCTGACAAGTGGATTTTATGTATCTGTTCCATAAATTGACCACTTCTGACAAAGCGGAAGAGGAAACTTAATTTGGCATGGCATGTATGCCAGCATCATTCCACTGCTCTAATCTGGTGCTGCCTGAAAGCTTATTTTGGTGGGTATTGTGTCCTGGAATGACACAGAACTAGAACTGGCGGGATGTCAAAAACCCTCCAAAAATAGCTAAACCAAATAAAATCAGCTGACCTGGGGAGGTATGAAATGCACATTTAGAAACACTCAGAGCTGGAATGTAGGTGATGCTAAGTACAGGAATGCAGGGTTATATGAATATTAACAACAACACGAATATCACCAATAAGGACATTTATAAATATCAGTATTTTTATTTTTAGGTTACTATGAATTTCTAAACCTCTTAAAATATTAGCTTAGGACTCCCAAATTCACTATGGTAGGTAGCTAAGGATTGTTAATCTTATTTTTACTGCTGGGGAAACTGAGGCAGAGAGGTTCAGTGACTTACCCAAGGCCACAGAGGGAGTCACTGTCAGAGCCGGGATTAGAGCTCAGGAGTTTCTGGCTCCCAGTCCCAAGCTCAGACCACTAGACCATGGCCTCAGGACATTTCCAGCTGGTCTTCAGTCTAAAAAAAAGTAAATTCTCAAGTATGTTACAAATATGTAACATATATATATATATTTTTTTTTTACTTTGAATGTAATGGTATGAATGACAACACATTGCCCTTAAATCAATGATGAAAAGCAAAAAAATCTTGATTTAAATTGCAGCCAATACAAACAGCTATTGTATTTTTCAGGGTAAGGAACAAGGTGCCTTTCCAAGCCAGCCAGCATGTCATTTATATTAATAGTGAGGAGTGCTAAGTTGCTCTGTGTGTAAGTAAACTCTATTAAGAAAGTCACATCCCTTGGTGAAGCTAGATCCTTAGTAAATTTTACTAGCTAAGCACTGAGCTCCATGTCAGAGTAATTACACCTTTTATCCACTGTGAGCTCTCTCTTAGCTTCTTCATACTCCTTAATTTCCCACTTCAGCTAATTTAGCAGTAAAATCGCAAAGGTTTTAAAAGGTTAGCTATGGAGGAACTAGCGCATGAATGTTCTGTTAAGCCCTATGCATTGAAATCACATCATGTAGAAGAAGGAATTAATTAAGTAACAATTAGGTAGTGATGGATCAATGACAACATATATACACTTTGGTGCTAAAATTAATCTCCCCTGTAAATCCAATACATTGTGTATCTTCTCATCTATACGCTGGCAAGTTTTATACTTGAAATATAAAATGTACAGGCCCTTCAGCAACATGTTAAAAAAAGGCTTATTTTCTGGCACTACTGAAACGACACACTATTTTTTTAAAAAAAATCTTTTTTTTTGTTGTTGTTGTTTGTTTGTTTAAAAAAAATCTTTTTTTTTTTTGTTGTTGTTTGTTTGTTTGTTTTTTAAGAATTGAAAGAGTGATGAAAATAGCAAAAGGAGAAGAAAATTTTAGGACAGGTGACTTTAAAGTGACTATAAGGACATTTGTTATATGAAAGTACTTAGTATGTTGAAAGTGCTAACAATTGTGTAGCATTCTCTTGCTATCTACTTTTACAAGTTGCCATATTGTTTCCTTGTATTGACAGTCAGCTGCTTAATACATAGACTGGCAGTTAGCCCGGTCAATCCTCAGTTCTAAAAGCCTCTTAGCAGATGAAAAATCTTTGGTTCATTCACACCTTGTAGAAAGGATGACAGGGCAGAAGTGACATCCAGATCCATTTAGAGTATACTTTGAGTCTGATTTTCCTTTGCCTTGCACCTTGTGTTGTCATTTATAGCTGTGCAAAGTGAGCACAAAGTGGATATAAAACACTGCTACCCATGTGAGGAGAGAATTCTGATTTGGTTGCATTATTTCCAGAGGTGATCACAAGAAGTGCCAGGCAGTGAAAAAATCTGGCTCTGCATAGAAAATCTAAACACTTTGGACACAATATATAAAGCATCAGCAGCACTTTCCAAACAATTTACAAAAATTGCACTTTTGCTTTGGAGCAATGGGTATTTTCATTTGCTGTTTACTTGGTATTTTCATAGAAAAAATGCTAAATGTTCAAGTCATCTACAAAAAAAAAATCCAATTTCTTTCTTTTTTGTAATAAATGTATTTAACTGTTAGTCCTAGTGTATATTCTTATGCAAAAAGGTCCTATATAACATCTCCACTGGTTTTGCCTTTCCATGTGCTACTTCTAAACCCAGTACTTAGACAGTTAGACTTCCACACGTCCTCCTGGAATCAGTGCCAAAGCTGGCATTATCACAACAGCTGGTCTCAGTCCATCAGAGTTCAATACTGTTCTGGCTTTAGTATGGGTGACAAATTATTGTCTCAGCATCTACCAAACAGTGATATCTCTGCTATATGATCTACCACTGCTATGATAATGTAAGACCTACTGCCAGTATCTCCAAGATACAGACTAACATTAGCAAGAAAGGCCTGCAAATATTAGATTAACAAATGTGTGTTAACAAAATTGATAGTTAACAAATTAAGGACCTAATCTGGCTGTCTCTGGAGATGTGGTCAAGAATTCTTTCTACTTAATAACAGACATTTAGTGTATAATAATTGATTCAATATGTTTGGACATTTATTTCCCCATACTGCTTGGTGGCCATTTTTCTGACCCTTCCCAGCCAGAAATCCTACCTGTTGCACTTAGATGCCATGATGGGCCTGGCATCTCAGGTGTGCTGATTAGGACCGGAAATAGAAATTACTTGACTGCATCAGCAGCTGCTGACCTAAGAGTACTGCTACAGTAAATAATGTTTCTTGGCATTTCTGTTAGAAAACTTCTTTTAATCACAGTCATGCACTTCACAGAGTCATCTTAAAACATAGTTCCTAAACCCATTACCATTGTCCAAATCTTACCTTTCAAGCAAGAGGCTAAAGAACAAATGTACATATTTTTTTTTTCTTCTTCATATTTTGGTAATACCATATTATAGATTGGGGGGTTCTTAGGCTTTTTTTTTTTCCTTTTTTTTTGCTTTTCCTTCCCCCTGTCTCCCCAGCCTTCCCCTTCTGGATTCAGTGCTTCTTTAAGTATTCTGAGTTGCTAGTCTGGGTTGACTGAAAAGCACTGTGTGTTTGTTGTGTGTCTGCATGCATGGCACCAACTGTTGAAGACTGTTTGATGTTAGATAAGGGCTTATGCTCAGAGCTGTTCTACAGTTGGCTCTCTGGCAGAATCTCTCCTCACCAATGACAATGACGTCTCTGTGTGTGGGAGAATCTGTTTTATAATATTACACTTGCCATGGCCTTAATTTTACTGATGGGGAATGATTATGATTTCATTTACATTAATCAAAATCATGAGTCATTCCATTCATGTCAGTAGCATTAAAGAGCTATACAGACAAGTAAGAGTTCAGAAGCAGGCTTGTGGTGTTTAATCTGAAAGGATATCTGAAAAACTTCATTAAAGATAGAAACGGAAGGATAGATCCTCTGCTTACTTTGCATTACTCAGTCATGACATTAGCATAAAACAGCAAATCAAGAACTATAATGACAGCTGGTAATGTGTCACAGTACAGGGGGTTTGTGTTTACCTCAGGTTCAGAAAGTACCCCTGTATTAACAAGATGTAAGATAATATTTCAAGTATGACAAAGTTATTGTATTGGGTCTCCTTGTACTTGGAAGCTGACATCAATGTTTCAAAAATGTATTTCCTTCCTTTGTTTTTTTATGTCACTTGTACATAACTGATGCAAAAGATCTAAAGGCAAACAATATTTGAGTAAGACCTCAGAGACTGAGTTAAGTTTTATAGCCCTGTCCATAATGAATATTACATCTGGTAGATACAGGAGCATCAAAACAGTGATCACAATTCACAAAGTTTGTTTTGTAAGTATCTTATAAAGCCCTATCAAATCTTCCTTCTTTTTGAAAAAGTGAAAAACATGTTAATTTTCTAAAATATAGTCATTCTAAAACAATAAAAGGTTTTGTACTGGTGTCTGTCTCCTGCTCAGACAGAGAAATTGTACAGAGGATGATGGGCCTTAATTTAGTTCTCACTGATAAGTACTTTTAAGACTAAATATTCTTGAAATTGCACTTACTTAAATTACACTCAAGCTCCATGTAAATCTAAAAAAAAAAGATTATAGGGAGGGGAAATCATTTCAAGAGGTCTAGCAAGCTAGCAGAATATCGCTCTATTATATCTCTTCAGATTTTTCCATTTTTGAAGTCAGAGAATTATTGGCATTTGAAAACATTTTCTAGAAATCTGTTTGATATATTACAGGCCCTAGAAACTATTACTGTCATATATACTCTTGGCTTCACTACAAGCACATGTCCCAAGACACCAAATCAGAGAGTTGAGGGTTTTATCAACAAATGAGGACCAAACAGAAGCTGAGAGAAGTGATCTTTTAGTATGTTTTTTATAGCTCTCACTGATTGTCTCACTGAAAACTAGGCATCTATCTCTGCATCTTGCTTTTCCAGTACAGTAGGAATAGCAAAACTATTTTCTCCCCAATGAAAGCTTTCTTTTTGCCCTGCTAGACCATGTGTTCAGTTTTATACCTTACCTTCCTCAGTATAAGAAAATTCTTGTACAGTGAAGCAATAAGGTACTGTCTTCAGGCTGAATACAGATGTTAGTTAAACCACTGGTGCCTTTTAAGAAAACCTTGATATAATTTCCATTCTTAGTAACTGTGGGAATTACACATTTTTCTTGTCTTTGTGATAACATTGCTGTGTATTTCAGTAAGAACATTTGGGCACATAGATTTATTAGAGTGCAACAAACTTTACATATTTGTGCCGAAAAACAATTAGAAATCTCATTCTTTGTTTTTCAGTAAACTAAAGCGAATGAGAAACTGAAGAAATATAGAACAGAGAAGTGACCTACCGTGGTTGTCTTTATCCGACCTCCTGGTTGTGTACAGGTCCAGCCTGATTTATTGATTAGCAAATCACAGCCTTCTCCTTCTAAACATGGAAGCATTTCACACCACTGTTTTGTTTTGATAATTCGTGCTATGGGACAGAAAAGAAAAAAACAAACAACCAAAACAATTGGCAGGAGAATTCACATTTCACTTATCTCTAAACACTTTCTCATTTGAGTTGTCTATTTTCATCATCTGATAATGCAGCCATAGGTTATGATGTAGACAGCCCTAGGCAATTTACAAAATTATTTACAACACCTGCTGTGCCAACAAATTTTATAATAAAAATAGAACTTAAAAAACAACAATAAAACAAAAGACAGCTCTGCTGTAAATGTAAAGAACATAAAAGTTAGCTAAAGGAAATATTGTTGGGGGGGAGGCTAACAACTGAAGACTTACTATCCTAACTAATGATTATGGTAGCCTAAAATTGAGCTATGACTGGGATCCATTGTGTTACACTCTCTATAAACCTGAGCAGACACTCCTTATCCTGAAGTGCTTACAGTGTAAATAGACGAGACGCAGAGAGGAGAGAGAAAAGCTATAATAAATGGGTAGAGGGGTCAACATAATGACAGCAATTGGGAAACTCTGTGATACTTGCAATGGTAGGGGCATAGTTAGGGGCAATAACTCAGAACACAAGAAGGACGGGCGCTGAATGAAGTAAAGGTGTAGAAATTATATGATAAGCAGAGATGATAAGCAGAGGGCAAAGACTAGAACAAATACCTTATTACCCTATTACTACAAGGGAAAGGAAGTCTAGTGAGGAAGGGCCCTAACTGACTGAAAGGCACTGTATTGTGTCCTTTGTGGCTCCTCTTAGTGCTGGCATCTCTGGTACGCTGGTTCTGCAAAATTTCCTCAAGGTCACACACAGCAAGTAGTCTTGGAACAACAGAGATCTGAATGCCTTAGACACACAGGAGATGTGGGGAGAACTTTTTCTTCAAGGCAGGGGCAAAAGGGGCGTTAATTCCTGTAGACTTCTTTCTGGATTATAACACTACTTCATTTGAGTTCACCTCTGTAGTATCTGGGTTCCTTTTCATGGAATATTAAGCAATATGACTAATATCTAATATCCCATTATTCTTTTACTCTACCCCTGAGGGTAAAATTGTAGGGTGGAGTATTTGTTTGGGATATTTTTCTATAAAATACATATGCAGAGATGCACTAACTTGCATGGTGCCATAGACTCATGTTAAACAAGGTAAGGGCCCCCAAACAATCTATCTTTTGCTTAGACTGTAAGGCTCGCAGTCCACAGAAAATGGTCCTCAGTTCCTTCAGAGGTCATCTCAGCAATCTTGCACTAGTCTATAAAAATGCTTCACCTGCTCAATTTGTAGGTAAGCGTCTTGGGATTCAAGGGCAGAAAAAGTTCCACATAGAAGGACACAGATCACATCCTCCTCTCTGTTGATGTGTGACATGCAATATACTTTCTACAGTCATGTGCCCAACAAAAAGAGAACTACAGGATAAATACTTAGCAAGATATGCATGCAAGAGGCTTATGATGCTCCAAATTAATTTTGGGTCCAAGGAGCTTAGAAGTGGGCATTTATACCCAGTGGAAGTTTTAGCTATTCATGCTCACCTGAACATGTGATTCAGCCTCCCTACACCCCTGAATTCCTCTGTCTGAAACTACTTAAGGATATTATTCCCAATGCCACTGGATCATGGCAAGAAATAGAGTTGTAATTTAAAGTCTTTTAATAAAATCCTTTCCAATATTTTGACATGAAACAAGTTGTGTCCTCAGTCCCGGTACAATTGCTGGTAAGCTCTAGCAATATAATGAACACTGATTTCTTTCAGTGGAAGCTCAATCTGAAATTCATATTAAGATTTTCATTATAAAAAGCATTTTAGGTCCCAAACGTCTACACAGGAATTTGCACTGTTCATTAGGCAATATATATATAATGCTGGAGGAATGATTCCTAAACAATTTTCATAACTACAATTTTTTGAGGCAAATCCACTAAGTTTTTATAGCACATAATATACAGAAATCTGGATTGTGCTTGGGGTCTGTAGGTACTTCTCTACTGAGAATTGAATCACATCAGTTTTGGAGGCAAGCATCTCCTATGTAACCGATAATGGCCTCATCCTTTCTGAGAGAAGGCATGCATCCAGTTGCAGGTTTTACAGAAAAAGCTCAGAAAAAGGTTAATACCAAACCTCACCCATTTGCATGCATGTGTTTTGCAATTCACATATGGAAATGGCTATTTCTATCAATGTTTCAACAATATGAAGGATCACTGAAAGACTGAATAGTCAGTTAAACTCAAAAATATGTACTAGATTGGCTCTACTCTCTCAGGTGGAAGGTTTTCCTGGAAACATAATTTGAACTATTCTTTAAAAAAAAAATATTCTCTCCCCTGTGAATTACTCTTAGTGTTTGCTTGGTTGCTATCTCAGAATGCACCTATCGGTAATATCACAAATATATGGAGTCCTTGCTCTGGGTATGGCTATAACCACACAAATTTAGAACACACAAAGAGTATTTTACAGAACATAAAGTCTAAAACATTTCTGTGTTAAGTGTATAGACTAGCTCATGCATTTAGCCCTTGAGAATCAGAATCAATGTCTTTTGTGGGGAAAAGCTACTTGCTCATATGGTTTAAAGCAAATCAGTATCACAACAGTTTATTAATTTATAATGACACACAATCAGCAGCAGCACAGGACCAATACCAGTCACACAAAAAAATAAACCATAGTACTAGACGCAAAGTATTCATAAATACTTGGGAATTCCCAAACAGCCCCTCAGAACTAATCCCAAACACAGTCACAGACACCTCACTCCCTACATCCCCTCCCGGCCATGCAGGTACATCCCGCACCCCCTGGGCAGAGGTGGGGGCACCAGCCCCAGGGTCGCCCCGTTTGCCAAACGCAGGCCAGGTGGGCACCCTCGTGCTTAGGTATAAATTAAAGCCTGTACAGACACACTGTCCTGTTAAACACATGCAGCCACAGCTGCATAGGGAGGCCATATTTGAGTCTGAAGGGTCACATCTATTTTTGCATTTTCACTTTTCAGCTTCCCATTATAGCAGAGTATCACAGTGAAGCTAAATACGTTATACAGGGAGCAAAATATACAATGATTTTATCAGCATAATATCAAGAATTTCTATCAGTAATTGAAACTGAGTTACACTAGTCAAAGCAAAGGAATACAATGTATTTCCTGAGGCAGTATAGTTGCCTTTTTACTGCTATATTCACCAGGGGTGAAACTCAGCCCTCCGCAGAGAAGGCAGCAAAAAGCCTATCAAATTCTTCAAATCCACTCCAAGCTCCATTATAAAGAATTAAGTGGCACTTAAATGATACATAGGCTTTGTGCAGACCTTCTGCAAAGAACCGAATTTCATCTTAAGAATCTGAGCTGACACGACTTTGCATTTCCTCAGAAGGGCTGTGCCCCTTCACTTCGACTGAAACTAATGGGAACTGACGGTGCTCAGCCCATGGTAGAATTGCTTTCCTGGGTAATACCATTTGAACTGGAGAACAAATGGCGTCTATCCAGGAGGTTTTTCGTACAAACAGTTCTGAGGTGTCTCAGACAGGCAGGGGTTTTATCAACACGATGCCAAGCTGCCCACCAAAGTGTTCTCAACTCTTTGGTAAGATAGAACAATTTGCAATAGATTTCCAGTTATTAGTACAAAATACATAAAAGTCTCTATTCATCATCAGTATTCTCCAATCTAAGACAGACCACCACAGATTATTTTCCTCTAAATACTGCAACTAGATAGGTTTTGTCACTCAGCTTCTCAACTGGTTTAACATTATATATATACTTTCCTATAGAAAATCAACTTTATTTTCTATACCTTCTTTTCACACATCCACTCCACATTCAGGCAGTTATCAATTGCTGCATCTCCAGTCAATCTCATAACTGAAAATCACGAACTTTTTGTGATAGCAAAAAAGTGAGATAAATCTTGTTCAGCAGCAGTAAATGCAAAATGTTACAGCCATCTCAAATACGTTAGATTAAAACACTCATATTGCTAAAGTTTGTTTTCTCTTTTTTTTTTTAATGTTGGAGAATGAATTTTGCAATAAAATTATTTTATTGTCATCAGATAAGAATATTGATTAAAACAGCATTTGGATATTGAAACTTTCTAAATACATCATGCTTCTATGCATAAAAGGTGGTATGTGAAATGAATATTTACAAATAATAATGAAAACCATGGTACAGGTACCTAAACAAAGTAAAAAAAAAAAAAAAAAAAAAAAAAAAA